GCACTTTGGGAGGCTGAGGCATGTGGATCACCTGAGATTGGGAGTTGGGGACCTGACCAACATATAGAAACCATGTCTCTACTAAAAATACAAAATGGTCAGGTGTGGTGGCACATGCCTGTCATCCCAGCTACTAGGGAGGCTGAGGCAGGAGAATCCCTTGACCCCTGGGAGGTGGAAAGTGTGGTTAACCAGGATCACACCACTGCCCTGCAGCCTGGGCAACAAGAGCAAAACTCCATCTCAAAAAAAAAAAAAAAAAAAAAAAAAAAAAGAAAGAAAGAAAGAAAGAAAGGAAAAAGGAAAAAAAATGCAGGTGAAGATTAATAGGAATTACTAAACCACAGACTCAGAAAGACAAGCAGCTGGTCCTTTTGGCTAGCATTTTATAAATCACCCAGATTACTAAATTCAGAATTATGTTTGAGGGATTCTTTTTCCCTGTCCATCATATTCAATTGGATTTCAAGCCTTGTGAATTTCATCTCAGTAACATTACTCCAATTCAGTTTCTCCAGTTATTTCTTCATCTGCTATCCTTGTTGCAACTTGGTTGCCTTATTTCTAAAATAACCACCCACCCCAACCTCAAACAAACGAACAAAAGCTTGTCTCAGTAACATAAGTTTCTCTAAGATTTACTAGAAACTGTTAACTCTTTTCAGGTAAAACTTAGAAAAACGGTTTTGTAAATGTTAACTCTTTGCTCAAGAATATAAACATTTTCATATATCTGACTCAAATAAATTAATTACAAAGCTCTTATGTCTGGCAATGACCTGTTTGCTCTGTGTCCTAGAACAAAGGGGTGGATGGCTTGAAGCCACTTCAGGCCTTGAGGACACCACTTTTCTATCTCCTCCTCTTTCACCTAGCTTCACATCTTACTTTTTTTAAAATTATACTTCAAGATCTAGGGTACGTGTGCAGATCTTGCAGGACTGTTACATAGGCACACACATGCCGTCGTGATCTGCTGCCTCCATCCCCTCATCACCTACATGAGGTATTTCTCCTAATGTTATCTCTCCCCAATCCCCCAAACCCCTGCCATCGCTCCCCTAACCCCCACCCCAAAAAGGCCCCAGTGTGTGATGTTCCCTTCCCTGTGTCCACACGTTTTCATTGTTCAGTACCTACTTATGAGTGAGAACATGTGGTGTTTGTTTTTCTGTTCTTGTGTCAGTTTGCTGAGAATGATGGTTTCCAGATTCATCCATGTCCCTGCAAAGGATATGAACTCATCTTTTTATTTATGGCTGCATAATATTCCATGGTGTGTATGTGCCACATTTTCTTTGTCCAGTATAATCATTGGTGGGCATTTGGGTTGGTTCCAAGTCTTTGCTATTGTAAACGGTGCCACAATGAACATACATGTGCATGTGTCTTTATAAGAGAATGATTTATAATTCTTTAAGTATATACCCAGTGATGGGATTGCTGGGTCAAATGGTATTTCTATTTCTAGATCCTTGAGAAATTGCTACTCTGTCTTCCCCAATGGTTGAACTATTTTAAACTCTCACAGGTTATTTTCCTTCTCTATGCAGGCTTCACTGAAACTTAACAATTCAAACTATTGAAGTGCATGATGAGTATGTGTTTAGATGCATGTTGGGGTTAAAATATTCAAAATGATATTATTTAAAATAAATTATATTTTAAGAGGTTTGACATATAAAACCATAAAAGCCACAATCATAAGAAAAGTGTTTTGAACTTTGGAATACCCACATTTGAAACAAATGCAAAACGTCAATTAAAATGATCTTTTGAATCTAACCAGTGAAATGAATGACCAAACGGAGCACTTTAGATAAGCCCAATATCTATAGTTTACTGTGCTTATGTACCATTGCTGTGTAGACAATGTAAGATTTGTCTAGGGCAGAAAAATCCTATTGCAAAATAAATGTTTTCTACAATATTTTTCAATGTTCTTTTTCAATGAACTTTTGTTTTGCAAGTCCCTTCTAATTGTTAGGATTGCATTTTATACATATACATAAAATCTATGAAAAACGGTCTATTAATAGATCATGCTCACATGTATGAATCTCTTATTTTCCTGGCCATAAAAATATGAGAGGCCTCCAAAAATCAACTTTCAATATTCTTTGAATGACTTTTATCTACCTTCCAAATAATATTTTTTATTTGCAGTTAAACAATCAGTGAACACAAAAAGATGGAATAAAAGGAGGGAATCCATTAAAGGGATCCAAGAGCGCTGGCCTTTGTAACACAGAATTGATGAGTTGGAAAAGGAGAAAACTGTACAGTTAAGTTACTAATTGAAGGGAGTGTGCTTACTTATTTAAGTCAAGTCAGAATCTAGAGGTTAAAACATGGAATGTACCTGTTTTTATTTATTTAAAATACTTGAACCTATGTATTTGGATGAATTCATATATATTCATTAATCAGTACACTAGGGAAATGGGAGAAAACTTTATACATACTTTATGAAGAAAATCTGTATTTATTGGTGTTAATGCATTTCAAGTAGATTTAAAGACTCTGCTTTTAACATAGGAAAACATACTATCGTGCTACTTTGATCTCAAATGTAGGAAGTCAGAAAGCTTTAAGATAAACTTCATTTTTGGTAGTTTATTCCTCACTCTTTCTAGAACAGGGATGATGTTAAATAAAATTTCTTGCACTGCACAGTCTACCTAAGGCATGCTTCTAATGTAAATAACAGCTGAAAGATGAGAAATGATACTAAACTCAGTCTTACATTTCCCCTGTCTCTCGGCCTTTGACACTGTGTAAAATAACGTTCAAAACGGACTGTACTGCTTTTTCTATAGCAGCTAGCAAAATCCTGCACTTGCTTTGCCCTGATAATTCATCAGAGCAGGATTAAATTCTTCTTGCCTCTCCTTCTATGCACAATTGAACACAAATGATCTTTATCTCTTGAGGATATGACTTTTAAAACTTTTCTTCTTGATATATTAATAAATACACTGTACGGAACATTTGAGTAATGTGAAAAATAATTGTTGTTTATTCACAAGAGATCCTCTTCTCAGATGTGCTACTTTCCATCTTTAATGCACAGAGTTCCTTTTGCGGCTTGTGGGAGATTATGATAAATTAATATTATATCAAAAATGCCTTTTCATTCACAACGAAATCTAAAAGCAGAAAATCTCAATGAAGTAAAATCTCATTGAAAGCCTGTGATACACTAGAGATATACACTTACTATGACCACTTCTCAAATGTTGTTCTTAATAGTCTTCAGTGAAAAAATTGGCATGTGGATATTGAACTTGGTAGGATATGTTTTCCACTTGAAGTGATTTTCAAAGATAAATGTGGTCAATTGTGTCTTCAATTTCACTGTGAAAATGTATTCCATCAGGAGTGGGAATGAGGAAGGCACAAACATCAAAGCATTTCAGTAAAAAAAAAAAAAATCACAATTAGCGTTTGGATTATCCCGGAGCAAATTAGTATATTCAAGGTGGTAGTGAAAGTCCTTATTTGGGCGGTGTTTGAAGAGAGTGTACTGAGGGAGATGAGGGCTGAGGACTACAGAAAGAACCACACTGGGTAGTTGAGCCTAGACTGGGGTAAGTCAGCAAGGATGAGGCTTTAAGAACAGGGCTCTGGACAACATATACGGTGCAGTGTGTACTGCTCAGGTGATGGGTGCTCCAGGATCTCACAAATCAGCACTAACGAACTTACTCATGTGACCAAATACCACCTATGTCCCAAAAACTTACAGAAAAAAAGGGGGGCTTCTGGAAGACAGTGTGGCATCTCTCTTCTACCAGCTGGCATCATTCTTCACATGGCCTCATGATCGAGCAGTAATTTACCTTTGATTTTCAAATCAACTAATTTATTTTTGAATAATAAAATTAACTAGTTTCTCTTAAAGGCAATGCTATAACATTTAGTTTTATTTTGATTTTTCATCTTAAACATTACTTGATGAGTTAAGACCAATATAAGTGGCATAACTGGGGTTCAGAAGTTATAACTGAAATAAAATATTTATATTTTATTTCATTATATCATACTCAAGGAAATACATACGTTTATATGAAAGAAATTTCATATTCAGTAGGTTTTTCCTATTTGCATATCCATTCTTCATATTTTGCAGGGAAAACGGGCAAAAATTACTTATTCACATTAATAAGAGTACCCAGTAATAATTATTAGATTAGAAAGGTTGAATAGTAATAAATTATTTGATAATTGTTGATGACAGTGCTCTAAAGCTCTAAAATAGTTTTTGACTTAAACAAGCATCTATTCTCCACACTTCCCACTTCCTTCTTTATCTAGATGTGTTGGGGCCTGGAGCCAGCCACCAGGGAGACTTTTTAAAAGGCATAAACAATATTTCAAATGGAATAAATAATGTAAACTATAATAAATAATCTTAAGAAAAGTTGACTTGTATTATTATAGTACATAGCAGGTTAAATGCATTTCATTTTTATTAGATATTAAACGAATAAATATTTAAAGAGTTCATCTGATAGAAAGAAAGTTTAACTTATACAATTATTCCATAGAAGATGATGAAACACAAACAGTATACATGGGGTAGACATTTTCATTTAAAATGGTTAGTAGTAATTGGGCAGCTACAGACCTGATCAAACCACTAAATTACTTACTATTTTATCAGTAATCAGTTTGCTGCTCTAAAAGAAAAAGATAGATCTAACACACACGTTTTAGACACAATTATTTAGAGAATGCATTGGTTTAGATTTCCTATATATGGCGAGCACATAGGAAAGAAGTATCTCGTTATTACGAACAAAATAAATGGAAATCTACAGAAAATCATTTCTTGCTGTAATAGTTGAGGCTAAAGGAAAAATATTTTCAATGAAAATATAATTAATATTAGGCATATGTATAAAACAAACTTCATTGTGTATTTAACAACATTTATTGTAAAACATTTTAATAGAGAAAAATAAATGTAAAATCATTAATATATTTTTATCACTTACCTCTCTTAGCATTTCTGCTTGTACTGGTGGGTTTATCTGAAGGACAGGGGCAATGTCCTTCACATTTGACTGAGATCTGTTTTCCTAAGACACATGCCTGATACTCTAGTTTGCACTGTATAAAAAGAGAAAAAAAAGTAATTCAAATGCTTTAGCTATATCTGTAGAAACTTAAAAAATATTTGGAAAGAAAGATAATTTTTTATGCATATAATTTGGAGATTTTTCCACCAGGTAATAAGTCTTCAATACTAAGGTGCGATTTTACACACTTATGTACAGTATTACTGATTCATAAAGGAGGCAGAAATGCAGTTGCCTTAGGTATCATTTTGGTGAACAGTCACTGAGAAACATAATAGTTTTTAAAGTCATTCTTAGTTTGCCAGATCTATTATATGGCATGAGTAGAAAATTTTAGAATCAAATGGAGAGAGACGTAATAGAGAGTTTGATAGTTCATCTCTTGAGCTTCTCAAATAGCATTTCAGTTTTTGGTTACTCGAGTAAGCATGTCTTCTCTTTCTTATTGGACTCTAAGTTTTGGCTACAGTCTCTGTGCATCGGTCTTTAGCCAGTGACTTGCACAGTGTCAAACGCCCCATCTTACATCACCCTAGGCAAAGCATTGTAAAATATATATTTGTAAATTGATGTGTTCATTAAATACTTCTATATTTACTTGTGATTTTCCACAAACATAGCACAATAGTTCAAACACAAATTCATACACATAGAGAACAGACATATATATTTACATATAAAATAAACCAAATATTTATGTAGCCTTTCTATAATATACTCCTTTGTATGCGTACACATTTCACATAAATTTTTGGTATGATGATGTACTTAGTGTCTCTCAAATCCTCGTGTGTAAATGTTTTTTTAGGCTGAACTTCCCATGGGTCTTACATTTGAATAAATGTGCATTTGTAATAAGATATTGTCACATAAGACTGCTTCTACAAGCCCCAGGGATTATTTCACTTGTTTTACAAAAAACAGTATAGCAGCCTTTCTTCAGTGCTTGTATGACCACAGGATTGAAAACACTTAAGACGTGACAACAGTGCACTCGTGATTCCATTACACATGTAATGGAAAAAGATAAATAAGAAGTCTAGAAGAGAGGAATGTCTGGATCTGATTCTTCTGAGTGTCATCTCCTAAAAGTGACATTTTGGGCTAGTTGCTCAAATGTTCTCAACCTCAATTTTCCCATTAAAAATATCTGAGATCGTGACATCTAATTTCCAAAGTTTTAAGTACCAAAGAGCCAGTTTTTCCCCATGCAGTAGCTATCATGAACCAGGCTCTCAGTAAATGCTAGTAAAAGGTGAATACTCTTCAATCAAAAATATTATGGCACATGAGATTTTCATTTGTTTGCTAACTTCTTAGTTTAGTTTTAGCTGTGTTTGGCTTGATTTTCTTTGTAAACATTACTTCTGGTGGAATTTCAATCCAGAGTGTCTTTCATTTACTTTTAAGATAATATTTTATAACTGCATACTTAACATGATTAAAAACTGTATTTCCAATTACGTAGTCAATTTTAGAGTAAGTGCAATGTGGTGATGGGAAGAAAGTATATTCTGTTGATTTAGGATGGAGAGCTCTGCAGATGTCTATTAGGTCCACTTGGTCCAGAGCTGAATTCGAGTCCTGAATATCCTTGTTAATTTTCTGCCTCATTGATCTGTCTAATATTGACAATGGGTGTTAAAGCTTTCCACTACTATTGTGTGGGAGTCTAAGTCTCTTTGTAGGTCTCTAAGAACTTGCTTTATGAATCTGGGTGCTCCTGTTCTGGGTGCATATTTATTCAGGACAGTTAGCTCTTCTTGTTGCATTGATGCCTTTACCATTATGTAATATCCTTCTTTGTCTTTTTTGATCTTTGTTGGTTTAAGTCTGTTTTAACAGAGACTAGGATTGCAAGCCCTGCTTTTTTTTTCTTTTTTTTTTTTTTTTTTTTTTTTTTTTGCTTTCCATTTGCTTGGTCAATATTCCTCCATGCTTTTATATTGAGCTTATGTGTGCTCTATCTTTTGAGAGTCAATAATAATCTTTCTATTCTAAAAGAAATAGATCTTTCTAATTCTGAAGTAATATGACTTCTTTAGTGGCTACTGCAATAATTTACTCAGATAAAATTATTTTAAAATTAAATAGGGTAGACTTTCTGGCTCCAGTGGACAAATGCACCAGTGACTAATTTAATTTGGCTTCAGCTGATATCAAGAAGCACTGAATGTACCCAATAGCTAATCAGATTACTCACGTCCCTACAATGTTTTTATTTTTTCTTGTCAAATAACTACTTAATGGACAGACAAAATTCTTAACTAGCTCTGCAACAAATGATTTAAAATGACTAAGGGCTTTGAACATGTTTATGGTAGCATACTGATCCTTTCAGGGGAACAAACGCTTTCAATGATATCATTATTTTTCATTATTCAATGTTTCAAAAATTGAAAAAAAATGATTTTGTCATGGTAAAATCACAGTGCACTTTTAAATGTAATTAAAAAGTCCAACATCTAATCAAAAGTAGACATAAATAGTTAAGCAATTATGAATGCTTTAATGAAAGCCAAATGAATTTTATGAAAGTTTGAAACTTCAAATTTAATATTCTGCACTGTAACTTCTGTTAACTTAATATTTCACAACCCTGAACGTGCTCATATAATTCTAATTCATGACATAATTTAGGAAAAGTTCAGGAGCAATTGTCAGTGGTATATGAACAGACAAAGCCAAAAGCCAATATTAATTATAGATAATATTGAATATTATCATTTGAATATATGTTTATCTCCCTTCATAGACGTGTTATACCACACTCATTTATGTTTTAAATGTAGTTTATTTAGCAGTGATTTTTTTTAAATATAAAGAACATAAAAATCTGGATAATACTTGAAGGAGTAACAAACATACAACAGTTATTCATTTATTAAAAACAGGAATCATATTATCTGCCCAAAAGTTGGTGATTCAATTTTTTTTTTTTTTTTTGGAGACAGAGGCTCATTCTGCCACCTAGGCTATCATGCAATGGTGTGATCTAGGCTCACTGTAACCTCTGCCTCCTGGGTTCAAGTGATTCTCCTGCCTCAGCCTCCGAAGTAGCTGGGATTACAGGTGCCTGCCACCATGCCCAGCTAATTTTTTGTATTTTTAGTAGAGACAGGGTTTCACTATGTTGGCCAGGCTGGTCTCGAATTCCTGACCTTGTGATCCACCTGCCTTGACCTACCAAAGTGCTGGGATTACAGGTGTGAGCCACTGTGCCCTGCCACCAATTCATTTTTTTTATATTGTTAGGCACTAGGAAAATAATTTACTAGAGAAGCACATGATCTTTCTAAAAATGTGGTTAATTCTTCATCAAAAAATGTTTCACCTTTGAACTTTCTTTGACATGATTGCAATTTAAAATTTTCAAAGCTATCTTTATGATTTTCATGAAATAATAAAATTATAGCTTTGCAAAAAAATTACTGTACATGTGAAATGATTTCAGAAAGATTCTACTCAACACCCCTTTTTATATGTATTTCTATAAGGAATAACAGAATCAGATGTATAGCAGATATTCCCTGGGTATATAATCATATGATTACAGCTTCTTATTAGAAAGCTACTCAGTTTTACTCACTTGGGAATTAATTTTGGAAAAAAATTCCGTTGGCAATTTTACTCAAAGAATATTAGGACATTAAAAATGCTACTTCTAAAATATTTTTTAGCTACATACACTGCATTTCTAATTAATAATGTTCAATTTACCTAATTACCACAAAGCTGAAATATTTATTAAGGTATATGTGAACTAAAATATCACATAAAGGGCATGCTCATTAGTCTATAATTACCAGAAAATGCAAATAATATAAAGACATGATTAATGCATTCCCGATTATGTAATATCCAAGTATTGAGATCACTTAAGTTATGAGTTCTTGTGAAAAGTAAGCCTGCAGAATGAGTTTGACACTAGTCACGGAAAGTTATTTGATAGTCGTTAGTTTAATAAGAGGACTCAGAAGAAAATATGATCTTATTATTGGAGAAATATGCAGCATATGAAAAAGATCCCAACCATCTGAGTCTGCAAACACTGGGACAGGCTGTTGTTACTGGGTTTCCAGATGATGACATCATCATGGGCCTGCTGTATGGCTTAGAGCAGGGTTTTCAGCTGGGGGTAATTTCACTCCCCCTTCCCGGGACATTGGAGACAGTTTTATTTGTCACAACTGAAGGCAGACGGGGGAGTGACTGTTTCTGGCATCTACTAGCTAGAAGCCAGGGAAGCTGCTAAATGTCTTAGAATGCACAGGACAGCCCCCTGCCGGAACAAAGATTTATTTGGCCCCAAATGTCAACAGTGCCTAGTTTGAGAAGCCTGGATTAGGCATTAGCCTACTGTAAGACAATGAAAGAGTTAATTGAATTCTCAAGATTCCTTCCACAGTTCCCTTAGGAATGTTTTCTTGGGCATTCACTAAAGTAATTCATATAAAATAGCAATTCTGCTAACCAACTGTCAGTTAGAAATACTTTAATTATCTAGATAAACCAGAAAATATAAATCAGCTAAAACAAGAAAATATACAGTTGACAATGGCCTATTTTCATTGAGGCACCACCATAGTTTAGATGCATTATTCTTTTGATCATAAAAAGTAAGACAGAGATATTTTTACAATAAATGTTGCAAGTGAAGTTTAGAGAGCTTATGTAACTGATGAAAAATATATGGCTGAAATGGGATTCAAGCACTATTTTATAGTTCTAATGTAGAACAAGTACATAATTGGCAGTAGAAATAGCAACAATTTTTTTTGTGGTAGCAATACAAATTTTTATTTAAGCGAAAAAAATCAGAAAATATGGAATATCATAAATCACTTTTTTATTCTGTATTTTCATCTATCTTGGACTGACTAATATATTACACTTTTAATGCCCTAGAGATCGAATATAAAAGACATGCTTTGAACTCTCATAAACAGAATTCCTCATATTCAGCTGTATCTAACCTCTTCCCCAAAACAGCTTCCACTAAAGTTCTTCTGATCATTGTTGAATGGTGTT